GTGAGGCTGGGAGTTTCTCCTGCTGCCACAACCCCCAGAGGATTTTACAGTCAGAGGTTTTGAAGCTTTATTTCCCCATGCTAGAACTCTGGGTTGTGAGGGGTCTCTCTTGCCCAACTTGGTCCCCCCGGTTTATCCACATGCACATGTGGGATAGCCCAGGCAACCAGCTGCAACCTTGCCCATCTGGGTCCTCCAGATGCTCCTTGCCATGAGTCCTCTCTGCCTCGGCTGCCAGTCTCCCCCCTTCCCCAGTCTGGATGAATATTTCTTCTTTAAGTCGTTCAAGGTAAGACTTCCATAAAGTTTGATTTTCTGGCAGTTCTGGTTATTTTTTGTTTTTAAATTTGTTGTTGTCCTTTTTTGTAGTGTGAGGGGTTAAAGTGCATCTACCTATGCCTCCATCTTGACTGGAAGTCTCAGGAGTTGATATTATTATTCCTCTTTTCAGTCTAGTCATTAACTCAGCCACTTACACAGGAAATGTCTTGTTTTGTTTGTTTTAGGGACTTGTGTCTTCCTCATTAATCTCAACTAAGAATGCTTCAGAGATCCTGGCCTCAACCCCTCAGCATGACAAATGGGATCCAAAGAAAACCTCACTGTAGGGAAATCAGTCGGCCTCTTAGCACTCGCTGGGGTTATGGAAGGACATATAAATCTACAAGACTATTGTAATATGTCAACCTCTGACACAAAGTTTTATCAGTAAACAAGCATATGCACATAATCTGTAAAATATTTGGCAAAGTGCATAACACATTATTAATGCTTCTCCTTACTCATTCATTTATCGATTCAATGGGGTAATTAACTGTTACTAAGTGCCTATTATGTGCCAAACACCATGCTGGGTGCTGGCATTCAGTAGAACTGTGTAATCAAGGTAACTGCTGCCACCAAATAGCCTAGAGCAAAGGCACCACCCCTCCATGGGGTCTGGAAAATTAAAGCCAATGCATGAGTAAGCAAAGAGTGAGAAAAATCAGACCTGTTAGTGTATCTTTTGTTTTCCCACTTTAAAAAAATATTTCATTTATTTATTTTTAGAGAGATGGTTAAGGAAGGAGAAAGAGAGGGAGAGAAACATCAATGTGTGGTTGCCTCTCACGTACCCCCTATTGGGGACCTGGCTCACCACCCACGCATGTGCCTTGACTGGGAATCAAATCAGCAACCCTGTGGTTCACAAGCCAGTGCTCAATCCACTGAGCCCCACCAGCCAGGGCTGTTTTCCCACTTTTGATAGACATGGCTTCATTTTTTTTATTGAAACAGAAAACAACAGGACATATGTGATGAAAAGACTGTCCAAGAATTGAGCAGGAGTAGGAACAGAGGCAGAAATGCAAAGGGTCGAAGTTCTGTTCCATTCAAAGAGGTTCCACATGGTTCCATCATTGGTTCCACATGGGAAAGCCAGTCCATGGTTGCTCCCAGACTCCTATTTCCAAGAGAAGTCAGAACCCTTGATTTTTTTGTGAATTCTGTCAATCCTAAATCTTCACTCCAATTTTTTTAAATTATTTAAGCTGAGTAAAATGTCTGCCAGCCCACTTTGACTGAAGCAGCCATTTTATGAAGCTAGTCTAGAAATTAATGAGCCACAATCAGCTAGTTATAATCATCTGTTATAAAGCTGACATTTCCTGTTGAGATTGCAAAAATTAGCCTGCAATCTGTCAGAAATCAGGGTCAAAATGAGTCAAGATCTAAATCACAAATCAACTCCAGGATGTTTGCCTCAGATACTGGGTATCTGGCTGCCATTACTATTTATTTCTGCCTAACAGCTTTGCTTATAAATTTCAAGGGTAATTAAAGACAGAGTATCTAGAGTACAGTTTCGTTTAGAATCTTTGACACCAGAATGCAGCTGACTGGAGCTTTTTACAAGACCTGATGAGAAAATGGAAAGAAAAGTGACAAAATGCTCTTGATAAATGTATTCTGGGCTGTGCAGGGGACCAACTAATTTTTATCTTTTATCTTAAGCAGCTAAAAAATATGAAAGGTAGAGGATTGTTGAAGTGTAAGCACATCTCTGAAGGAGTGGCCGGTGCCTAAGTACGCGCCTTCACTGCTTCCAGATGAGCTGGACAGATGCCCTTTCCAAATGCTTTCCCCATCCCCAGCCCCTTCCTCCTTGCTCTGCCTCACAGATAGGACATCAGAAGCAAATGGGGATGAAGTGACAACTATAGTTGTATGTTTAGATTTTAAATCAAAATAACATTGGGAGGGTTCCTTTAAAACAGAAGAGGCTCCTGTAGACATAGAAGCTCCAATGTAGACATTGGCCCCAAAGCTTTCTTGCAGCTCACCCTTTCCTGCAAAGACACTACCCTCCACCCTCATCTCATGTATGATTTACACCTCACCTTCTCAAAAAACCATTTGAGGTAGCCTACAGGCAAAGGCATGCATATACTACAGAGCTGTGAAGTGATGGAGGAAAGAGGAAGTCAACTGCAGGTGGAGCTCCTAGTCTCTGCTCTTTTCTAACCACCTGGTGAGTGGACAGAAGAATCCTCTTGTTCCATTCAGGGTTGCTTTAATCCTATCATTTTCCCAATCACCACCCAAAACAAGATGCTTAATAGTAATGGGTTTTAAAGTTCTCTGCATCCTGGCTTTGCCTTTACTTCTACTGCTTTGTCATCTCTTTGCCAGGTCAGTTTTCCCTGCCAAAGGCAGGTCTAATTGCTCTTTGCCGTGCCAACTTCCAAAGTATCATACTATCCATGAGGTCTTTTCCCTTCTCTTTCCCCAAGCTTACAATCAATTCTTTTCCAGATTTACATTTTGTGAAGCTGCCTGTCACAGGGTAGTTTCTCTGGAAAGAGACTCTAAGGTACAAACTATTGAGATGCAAAATGTTCATTAGGGACCAACACCTGAGAAAGGAAGGGCAAGGACACAAGACTGGCAGGGAGACAGTGCTGTGGAATAGTTAGCTAGCTTTGCTAGCCTGGTGCAAATCTCTGGGGTGAACACCACCTCTCAGAGGTACCCCTGCTGTGGTCGGCTGGACTCTTATATGCCCGCCTTGCTTAGTCACCAGATTCAGGCTGCCCTGAAAAGGGCATGACTTCCAGAAGGAGGATCTTTGCAGCTGAGGCAGATCCTAACAGAGTTGTGGCTTGTGACTATCTGTTGACCACATTCCCTACAGCTGGGAAGCAAGTCCTTCTTGGAAAAGAGTTCTAGGCAGCACACCTGTATGTACACCACACAGCCCCAAGCTAATCCTATTGCAATCCAATAACCCAAGAGTTCTAGCAACCCTGCAGGTGGACAAAATAAACCCATTGCTCCACTAGGAATGTCTTTACACATCATTTCTTTCATTTCGGGCATCATGTTGCATATATGCTAAAACATGATCCTAATTATCTTATCTGGTTGGGTTCCTAAAAAAGAGCTTCCCAATCAGAGGTCTAGAAAAAAGTAGGCCAAAATATTTGTCTCTTAAGTCCTTGGAGCAAACAGGACTCTGGGCAGGTGGCCTCCACAATGAGCAGGCTTTTCAATTTATCTCATTGTGCAGAATAAGTATTATAATATTTAAAACCTTGGGACACACTGTTCTAGAGCCATTTATTCTTGGCCTATCATTCAGTCACTGATCATATATTTATTGGACATCTATTCTGCATCTGACACCAACCTAACCATTGGAGATAGAGTGGGCAATGGGTCACATAAGGTCACTGTCACCCAGACACTTAGAGTCTAGTGGAAAAGAAAGATTGAACAAGTAGACACATAAAAAGAAACATAATTAGAAATAATGGGAAGTGTTATGGGAGAGAATAACAGGGTCAGAGAGTAGGGAATGGAGACTGGCAGGCAGCAGATCTCACTGGGCCCTGGAAGGCATGGAATGGTGTTTGCTTTTTATTCTAAGTGGAAGGGAAAGCTTTTGGGAGATTTTTTAAGCAATACATATCATGATCTAATTTTAGCAATACATATCATGGCCTGATTTAAGCAATGCATATCATGATATGATTTTCACAAGAACACTAGCAGACCACCAGCATGGTGACAGGAAGGCCATTTAAGAGTGTGCTGTAGCAATCCAGACTGGAGATGACATTAAGGGTCACTGTGGATACAGTGAAGATGGAGAAGAGTGGAAGGCTTCAAAATATATTTTTAAACAATAATCAATCCTTTCTGCCCTCAAGAAGTTCACAATCTGTTGGAAAGACAGACATGCAAATAAATTATTTAGTATAGCAAAATAGTTACTTGAATGAAAATCAGGATGGTACAAATGGAGCATAGCACGGAGCATGGAAGACTTCCTGGAGGAGCCAAGGTGCACACAGTTGTGTTGAAGCCGGGGACGCAAACATTAGCAATGTGCTAAGTAAACTAATGGTGGGTAGTGCTTCCAGCAGAGGTGGCAGTGTGTGTAGTGGCCATGATTACATGCCTCACAGACCTCCACCTAGAGGTGTCTTCACTGACCAAGGACCAATCACCCTGTATATATGGTCCTGTCTGTGCCTCTTCCACTGTGCTTGTCCCATTATAAATCTGCATGACTGTTTTTCTCCCAGATTTCAAGCTCCTGGAACACAGTTGCTGTCTTGTTTATTGTGGCAGTAAATATGTCTTGATGAATAAATAAAAGGCTTCTCTAATGATTGTACCACTAAACACTGATCAAGTCTTTTCAGCCCTACTTATTTACTTCATATCGTTCAGTAATTTTAAAGGTATTGCCTTCAGGTGTAGTCTCTCCACTAGCTCCTTGAGGGTAAAACTCCTGTCCCCTTCTTTTGTGCCTTTTCATGGGTCACCATATACTGATCTGAATACTCAAAGGGCCACCCAAAGAGTACAGAATAAAATGAACAAAAATGGATATAATTATATGCAATAGGCAGTTACTAACCAATGAACTTTTACTCCTTTGTTGGTTACCAGGATGATGAAGTGACTTTACCTGCTGCTGAAGGTTTTCATCCACTTAATGCTTCCCCAATATGTCTGCTGAAAGTAATCAGTCATCAGGAGAGTCATCATCTCTTCAGCCTTCTACCACTTCCCAACAATCCACACAGACCTTATCTTCAGAGGAAGGGGACACTGAGGGAGAGGAGGAGAGTTCAAAGGAAGAATCTCCATTTTATGAAGAGGAAGAGTATCTGGAGGAGAATGAGTATATGGAGGAACAAAAGTGCCTTATAGGAGAATCGTACCTTTATGAACAAGAATATCTGGAGGAGAAAAAGTGTCTGCAGCAGGAAAAGAGTCTGGAAGAAAAAAATTATTTGTATGAAGAAGAATATCTGGAAAGGGGTGAGTATATAGAGGAGGCCCTCTGAAAAGATCATAGCTTTAGTTCACCACAGTACCCAGGAAAAAAGAACAAACTTGAGAACTGGTCAAAGCTCAAATTATCAACCCTATCCACAGTACTGACAAGTAGGAAGACTCACAGCTGACCAAGCTCTATTCACAGCTTCAATAGCCATGACCAAAAGCACCATGTCAACAGAGCAGAAAGGGAGACCTGATGACATAAATCACCTGCTCATTAAAAAAAACATAATTTGCACTCTTTCCCTCATTGAACAAGTAATACATGTTCATTTTGGATGTTTGAAAAAATTTACTTTTATATTGTTGTTCAAGTACAGTTGTTTCCATTTCCCCCCACCACTGTACCCTGCTTCACCCACCCCCATCTCCCACAATCAATCCTACCCAACCCTTTTGCTTTTTCCATGGGTCCTTTATACATGTTCCTTGATGATCCTTCCCTTTCTTTCCCCCCTTTACCCCCCTCCCCCATCCTTCTAGTTACTGTCAGTCTGTTCTTTATTTCAATGTCTCTGGTTATATTTTGCTTACTTGTTTGTCTTGTTGATCAGGTTCCATTTATAGGTGAGATCATATGGTATTTCTCTTAATCACTACCATCAAGAGATAATTTCTTTGACACTTTTGGTTATTTCCCCCTCAGCCTTTATACACTGTAACCTTCTTCTTAAGATATATTTATTTGCACAATAAGGAATAAAAGAGGAGAGATTACAACTGATACAACAGAAATACAAAGGATTGTAAGAAATTGCTACAAAGAACTGTATGCCAAGAAATTTGAAAACCTAGGTGAAATAGACAAATTTCTAGAAAAATATAATCTTCCAAAACTCAATGAAGAAGAAGCAGAAAGCCTGAACAGACCAATAGCAGCAAATGAAATTGAAGCAGTAATCAAAAAACTCCTGACACACAAAACCCCTGGACTGGATAGTCTCACAGGAGAATTCTACAAAGCATTTAAGGAAGAGCTACACATAACCCCTATCCTTCACAGACGATTCCAAAAAGCCCAAAATGATGGAAGACTCCCAAACTCTTTTTATGAGGCCAGCATCATACTAATCCCAAAATCAGATCAAGACACAACAAAGAAAAAAAACTTCAGACCAATATCACTGGTGAACATCCTCAACAAAATATTGGCAAACCTCATCCAACAATACATTAAAAAGATCATACACCATGACCAAGTGGGATTCACCCCAGGGATGCAAGGATAGTACAATATTCACAAATCAGTAAAGGTAATACACCACATAAACAACAGCAAAGACAAAAATCACATGATCATATCAATAGATGCAGAAAAAGCATTTGACAAGGTACAGCACCCATTTATGATAAAAACACTCAGCAAAGTGGGAATAGAGGGAGTATTCCTCAACATGATAAAGGCCATATATGAGAAACCTACAGCCAGCATCATACTCAATGGGCACAAACTAAAATCTTTTCCACTAAAATCAGGAACAAGGATGTCCACTTTCACCACTTCTATTCAGTATAATATTAGACATTTTAGCCACAGCAATCAGACAAGAAAAGGAAACAAAAGGCATCCAAATTGGAAAGGAAGAAACAAAACTGACACTGTTTGCAGCTGACATGATAGTGTACATAGAAAATCCTATAGAATCGGCCAAAAAACTGCTTGACCCAATAAGTGAATTTGGCAAAACAGCAGGATACAAAATCAATATCCAGAAATCAAAGGCATTTTTGTACACCAGCAATGAAACAGCAGAAATCAAGAAAAAATTCCCATTCAATAAAACAAAAATAAAAATAAAATACCTAGGAATAAACCTAACCAAAGAGGTAAAATAACTGTATTCAGAAAACTACACAACACTGAAGAAAGAAATCGAGGAAGACACAAACAAATGGAACATACCGTGTTCATGGATTGGAAGAGTTAATATCATCAAAATGTCCATACTACCCAAAGCAATTTCCAGATTCAATGCAATATCTATTAAAGTATCAATGGCATATTTCACAGACATAGAACAAACACTTCAAAACTTTATATGGAACCACAAACAACCCCGAGTAGCTGCTGCAATTTTGAGAAAGAAGAGCAAAGTAGGAGGGATCACAATACCTGATACCAAACTGTATTACAAGTCCACTGTAATCAAAACAGACTGGTACTGGCATAGAAACAGGCACATGGACCAATGGAACAGAACAGAGACTCCAGAAATAAACCCAAGTCTCTATGGTCAATTAATATTTGACAAAGGGGGCAGCAACATAAAATGGAGTAAAAATAGCCTCTTCAACAAATGGTGTTGGGAGATCTGGAAAGCTAATGTGCAAAAAAATGAAACTCAAGCACCAACTTACACCTTACACAAAAATAAATTCAAGGTGGACAAAAGATTTAAATATAAGCCATGACACCATTAAAGTCCTACAGCAGAACATAGGCAGGAAAATCTCAGATATTTCACTCAGCAACATTTTACTGCATATGTCCCCTAGAGCAAAGAACATAAAGGAAAGAATAAACAAATGGGATCTCATCAAAATAAAAAGTTTCTGCACGGCTAAAGAAAACGGTATTAAAATAAAAAGAGATCCAGCTGTATGGGGAAACATATTTGCCAATAATACCTCAAACAAGGGTTTCATCTCGAAAATATATAAAGAACTTAAATGACTCCACTGTAAGAAGACAAGCAACCCAATTAAAAAATGGGCAAAGAACTTGAACAGACACTTCTCCAAGGAGGACACACAGAGGATCCAGAGACACATGAAAAGATGCCCAATATCGCTAGCTATCAGAGAGATGCAAATTAAAACCGCAATGAGATACCACTTCACACCAGTCAAAATGGCCATCGTAAACAAAGCAACAAACAAGTGTTGGAGAGGTTGTGGAGAAAAGGGGACCCTAGTGCACTGTTGGTGGGATTGCAGACTGGTACAACCACTATGGAAAACAGTATGGAATTTCCTCAGAACACTAAAAATGTATCTGCCTTTTGACCCAGCAATTCCACTGCTGTGATTGTATCCTAAGAACCCTGAAACACCAATCCAAAAGAACTTATGCATCTCAATGTTCATAGCAACACAATTTACAATATCCAAATGCTGGAAGCAACCTAGGTGCCCATCTGAAAATGAATGGATCAAAAAACCATGGTACATTTACACAATGGAATTCTATGCAGCAGAGAGAAAGAAGGAGCTCCCACCATTTGCAACAGCATGGATGGATCTGGAGAGCATTATGCTAAGTGAAATAAGCCAGGAGGTGAAAGACAAATATCATATGATCTCACCTTTAACAGGAACTTAAACAACAAAACAAACAAGCAAAACATTACCAAAGATACTGAAATAGAGAACAGGTTGACAGTGACCAGAGAGGAGAGGGGAGGGAATTTCAGGGGAATTTCAGGGGAACATGGGAAGGGTTTACAGGAACAAATATAAAGGACACATGGACAAAAACTAGAGGGGGTGGAAATGGGAAGGAGGTGGGGAGGAATGGGTGGGTTGGCTGGGATGGGAGTAAAGGACAGAAAACTGTACTTGAACAATGACTAAAATAAAATTTAAAAAATACATTTATTTGTATACTTATATATTTTAATTATATATAAATGTTACATACTTATATGAATATCATTTCATTTATTAAGTTATCTACAAACATTTAATGACTGTTTTGCATTGCATTGTATAGTGCAATTGTATAATACAAACCATAACAGTTTAATTGATCCCCTATTATTGAGCATTCTTTGCTTCTGATTTTTGTTACTTTTTTAAACAGCACTTTGAAAAACATCCTTAGAGCTAATTGTATCAGTGACCTCTAATTATTTCCTACAATACATTCCTGCAATCTGTTGCTAGGTCAACAGACACTAGTATGCTTCTCAGGTTGCCTATTTGGCCCCTGGAAGGCATCATCTTACCTCATTAGTTAAATCCTGATTTAACTTTGGAGTTATTCCTCTCATCCCAAGCTGACATTTTTCCAATAATGTTTCTGCAATTGGTAATTTCTGCCTAAGTTGGGTTTTGTTATTTGTCAGTGGTCTCCTCATGCTGTTATGAGATGTGGTTGACATGCATTCACTCATAAGCCCATATGCTGAAATGCCTTGATGTCATGACTGCAGGGCCATATCCAACTAGTTACAGAAAGTTAAAAAGTCCAGGTCACAGGCAGCATCTTATGTTGACTGGCAAGTACAATATAACTAAATTATTTTTCTGGATCCAGTTCTGCTACCAACTACAAGTGTCTCAGGCAGCTTGAATTTTAAATCTCCATCTGATTACATAAAACCTACATGCTAAAATCTGGGTGTTCTCTGCAGCCACAGAGGCATTTCACCTTTATGTCCTTTTTCATCAAATCAGATTTATCAGCATTGATTCCTATGACCCTCATGGACATTTAGTTTGGGCATAAAAGAGATAATTTCTGTATTGCTAGAAAACCCTCTTCTGTGTGCCTCTACCATTAAGTTCCTTCTCAGAATCCTAATATCCCTGCTGATCAAGTACCAAGTGTAATTTTAATACTAAAATATAGGATTCAGGCCATTTCTTTTGTGCAGTATGGATCAAGCATTCTTAACATGCCCCCTCTATGTACTATCTTTTGTAAACATATTACCCACTATAGTAAAACAAATACAATGCTGTCAAGAATAGAACTGTGTATAAAGCAAGAGCTTCAAAAATAAATGCCTTGCCAGAGAAAATTGGAAAGGCACTGAAAAAACTGTAGGAGAATGCTAACATACTTTTAAAGGCACAAGCAAGAGTGTCTTTATCTATGAAAACCCATTATACAAAAGGTTTACAAGAGGATTCTCAATTTTAAAAAAGAATACACATCAAATTTTTTTTAATTTTTACTGTATTTTTCCACTACTATGTAGTCCTCTTATACTCCCTATCCACCCTACAATAACCACAGTGTTGTGGTTATTGTCCACAGTCCTTGAGTCCA